CGCAACTACACTACCCAGAATTCCTGAGCCTGACAGCCCACATCCAGGACTACATTACCCAAAAGACTCGGTGGCAAAGACTCAAACAGAACTACACTACCCAGAATCTTTGGAGGTGACCCCCCCCCCCACGATATTAATCCGAAGGGGGGGTTCGCATGCCCAACCCCAGAACTACGATAACCAGCAGCCTCAGTCCACCCCAGAACTATGATAATCAGAAGCCTCAGTCCACCCAACCATCCCCCAGATTGCGGTACCCAGAGTCCTCCATGTGACGCTCCCTCTGAGACTACAGTACCCAGAAGACTGCGTGCTTCACCCGCAGAACTACAATACCCAGAAATGTCAGCATATTACCCATCATGGTTTGCTGTATCCTCCGAGGGGCAACCTTTATTTCAGGACTCTGGTACCAGGAAGTCTACCTGTGCCACCACCACCAGGACCAAGGTGCTTAAAATCCTCTGCATCTACGCACCTATCCTACAGTATGCCTAAATATTCATGTGCCTCCCACCTTTCCCAAGATGACCAGAATAGTTCACATAGCCAAAGAACTGCAATACCCAGAAGTCTGCCTCCCGATCAACTACAAGACCCAGAATCCTCTGGATGATCTGTAAGGCCTGATCCCCAAGGACGCTGCTACCCAGAAACTTCAGTGTACCCCTTACAAGTACTACAATACCCAGAAGCCTCGGCCTGACCATACATCGGTCTGACCTCCTCAAGGAAAAAGGTAACCTGACTCCCCAGCAGGCTCCCTCAGGAACTAAAGTACCCAGATTGTTTTGTGAGTCACACCTCAGGACTATGGAAAGTGAAACCTTTGTCCTGTTTTCAGTCCACCAAAATGAATATAGAACCTTTGATATGAGCACACACACACACACACACACACACTCCGCGAGGACTACAGTATCCAAACAGGGTCATCAGCCGGTCCCTGAAGATTCATTGCCCAGGACCAAAAGGCTGCCATCTATTCGGTTTTTTTTTGTTTGTTTGTTTTTTGTTTTTTTTTTTCTTTTTATTTATTTATTTTTTTTTTTTTGCTCCGAATGCCCTCAGGGGTGGTTTGGCAGGCTGGAGTGTTGTGGGGATTGAACTACAGCATCCTGAGGCTGACAGCTTTGTGGAAGCAGCCACTTAAACAACTGAGCTAAGGCCAGGCCCCATCTATTCGTTTTTGTAATACACTTACGAGACATGCTGAGGAGTCTAAGGTCTCTTCATCCAGTGTAGTGGTCCTTTTCAAGGCCCTGATTTCTGTATTTTTAGGAGCGTAATACATACAGTGAGAACATCTCTCATTCCTGTGCTACAGGTATCTAATTTCCCACTGTATCTTTGGACTTCGGTCTTAACTAGTTTTGCTATGCCAAATGTAATTTTGAGCCTAGTGTGGCAGCCCATCCCTGAAGTCCCAGCACTTGAGAGCCTCAGACAGGGAGATGGCGTCCAGTTCAAGGTCAGTTTGGGCTGCACAGTACGTTTGAGGCCAGCCTGAACTATATAGTCAGACCCTGTCTCAAAAATAAAAATAAATAAAACATTTTCAATTTCTAAAAAAATTAATATTATTTTCTAAAGGTGAATAATTATAATGCTTTAATACATTGTTCCTTTCAGAAATCGTTTTAGTGACATGTTCAAGAAGCTAACCCAACAGTGACTGTACTTGCAGAACATGAGACACAGACCAGAGATACTGAGGACAAGATTAGGCAGAAGCACACCTCCAGGTACTTGTGGGTTTTTTCTCATTAGTTCCCAGAAAGACACTCAATTTCTTTCTTCTTCAATATTTCCAACCTGGGACATTTGAATATTATGTGAATATATTTATTAATGAGTATGCATATTTAAACATCTGTGATATTTAATTGCATTGCTTCCTGGGCTATTGAATTTTCAAAACAGTAACTTGATAGGTTTTCAATGGCCTCACAGTAGAGAAATGGGCAGAAGGAAAAAGAAAAAGGGGCTTTATTAGAGAGAATATGGGAAAGGTGAGGAATTCTCTGGATTGGAAGGAAGGAGTTTGAGAGGGATGTTTAGATATACCTGAGGGAGCTGACTGGGGTCTTCCCTGAGGCAGTGGAAAGGGTGAAAAGAAATTGCACCCTGGACTGAGTTGGAGAAGAAGCAGGGAGGAGGTCTCTGGGAAGATGAGCTGTTGTTTTAAGGGCTTCAGGCGAATTAGATGACCACCATAATGATTCAGCAATTCACACTTGGCCCAGAACCTACCATTACAGAAAGCTAAGTCCTTGATACTTGGAGGAAAAACAGCAGCAGCTTTCAGACCACAGCAAGAGCTACACCCAGTGACATGCGGTCCTTCTCTGAGCAGTTCCAATAAGAGTTTCTACAACACGTGGGGTTTGTCCACATTCTTCAGGGAAGCAGAGAGATAATTCACTTACTTTCCGGAACGCCTATCAGTGCTCTTGAAGTTCAGTCATACACCAGCTGCCGCAAGACTGAAAATGAAACCATCCAGCCCCAAAGGTAGAGAGAGACAGAAGGCTGTGCGGGATTCCCTGTTGTCTTGTCTCTGCCCAGCCCCCACGCATGCCACCTGGCTGGTCTGGCAGATACCCTGGACACAGTGAGCTTGGCAGAGCTTGTCTTCCTTGTGGGAACTAGAGAGAAAGCTACAAACTGTACTTTCACTTTCATCCTGATGCCCATTGTCCAATGATATCAGCAAAATGCAAAGAAAACTCATTTTTAAGCAAAAGACTGATGAAACAGTTTAAGAAAAGCAAAGTGCTGAGTCTCTGGAGGAGCTGGGGTTCCCCCTGTGCAGCTAGCCTCAGCCAAATCTTGGAATACTTCCCCCCTTTCCACAGATGATCTGCAGAGTTGACATTCGAAAAGAAAGGGACAAAATACAAGACAGGCGGAATTAGTGTGAGCGTGCTTTCGCTTCAAAATTGTTTCACCTTGATCGAACACACAAGTCAAATGATAGAAGTATTTTATTTCTTTAATACAGTATATAAAAATATTGTACCCTTGTTGTAAGTAGCATGCCCCAAAATCCTGACTTGGAAACCACCCTGAAGGACAAATCTGTTCTGGTGCTTTATGGCACCACCAGCCATAGCATTGCAGTGGACTCTGAACCACTGCAAAGGGCAGAGTCCGCAGAAGCCTACTCCTCACCCAGCACTGAGGGTCCACAGGCCCAGCACATGTGTGCAGATATGCATAGAATCAGGAGCTCTCCAGACATACGAATGCCTTTCAGTGGGGCAGTGCTGATCTGCTGCCACAAGCAAGTGGGAAAGCCCACTGTCAAGCTAGTTTTATTGCTTCGCAATCGTGTTTCATGCCAGTGTATTTAATCATTGTTCACATGCCACTTTTCCCTGAACAAATGAAAGTGTTTTTCGGCAGGTAATGATCCCTCATTGTTGTGGGAAGTAAGCTTTTCAGGGAGATGAAATCATGTTTGTTTTTTTCTTTATGTCACGCAGAAAATCAAGGTGATTCAGGGTTAGGAAAAGGCTTCTCACGCCTAATGATACAAGGGAATGAAACTCCCCACCTGAAAGATACCTGGGCCAAGTTCACATTTTCTGAAGCCAAAGAATGAATTTCAGGGACAATGGAGATTAAGAGCAGAATATATTTATTGGGGGAAAGAAAACTCTTGTCTGACAAAAGGACAGAAGGGAGACCTGACGGGGGTGCCTCCAGATCTCTTTTGTATGGATTTTTAATGAGCAAAACCATGTGGTGAGGCAGGTGTAAGGTGGAGAACATGGGAACTCACTAGGTGAGCATGAGGTGGGACAAAACTATGGTTAGCCAATGAGATTACAAGCACAGCTGCTCGGGTAAAATTGATTAAATAGAGCACCAACTGGGGAAGCGAGGCAGGTAGCAATCAGGCATGAATACAGAACAGGGCTTTTCTGAAAGGGCTGGGTGACTTCCAGGCATCCTCAAAATGAGAGACCTATTTAGAATATCAATCCCTGTATATCATTTGTTTGAGCTTTTTTCTTTAGATCTGGCCCACAGCAGGGGTGGCTGTCTCTCCCAAAATTGCAAAGTCATGTTGTCTTCCATGTTGTCTCCTTGGGGACCTCGCCCTGTCTGACTGCTATAATATTTCTGTCTAATTCAGCTGCCCCCACCACTAACTGAAATCTAAAGACACAGGGTGGAGGCATGAATCTGAAGGGAAGGAGGCTACACGATGCTTCTGCTCAGGCACACCCTGGTTGCTCATCCTCATGGCCCGTCTCTAACATCCACGTCCAGAATCTCTTCCAAGAGAACATGACCCTTTCCCCAGGCCGCCAATGAGGGCAAATGAGCCTGAAAGATCTGGTTGCACCAACCAAAACCAGCTTGCTTTTTATGTTTTCTATTACATGAATGATGATTCTGATCCAGGCTGCAGTCTGCTGTGTTCTAAGACAGAAAGGGTTTCCCTTACATATTCATAACGAAGATTAATAGGACATCTGAAGGGAAGGATTACTGACTTTATCAGATCCAAAAGCTACAATTCTTGTTGCATAGGTCTTGTTTTATCTTGGTCTTAACTATCCAACAGAAAAGTATAAAAACGAAGTATAATAAATAAAGCCATGTTGTTATGTTGAGCTGTAGGGGACTCAGGTCAACAACTTCTGACATTGCCAGTCAAGCAGAAGGCCATACTATTATGGCCTATTGGACTATTTTGGAATATTTTGCTGAGTTCACACACCTATAATATTTAAATGACAGAACTAAACAAAAAAAAAGGGGGTACAGATGAATGACCATTTTGATTCTGTGTATCCAAAATGGTTAGGATAGAATGTATAGCTACATTCTCTTAATAAATAGAGGGATTTGTTCTAATAGTGTTTGTAAATAGGATATCATGTCTGCATCTTGTACAACAAATAAACACTAGGAGGACAGTATGCAATGTGTTAATTATTAGAACTGTCCTACCAATTTGATTTGAAACTGTCTCATTGCTATTTATTTCTCAATAAAATTATGGGAAAAAAATGAAGGCAAGAATTGGATATATAATCCTTTGGAAATTCCTGTCATCTTTGGAACTGTGATAAAGTGAACAGCAAAACAGCCACACTGGAAAAGCATCTGTAGGAGAAACTGCCTTAGTCAGACCCCCTGTGGTTCACACGCCAGACAGCCACTTAGCCCCACACTCTTCTGGATTCAGTGGGAAGCAAATCACAGATCAGTGGTAGAGAGGCAAGCACTCCACTTTCAGTCAGAGGATAAAAGTTTAAGTAAACAATATACACAGAAAGACAACAAAGGAGAAAAGATTTAAAACAACTGATAAGCCAGAGCCACATGAAGCAAAAGAAAACTATGTGGAGACTAGCAGCTGTAAAATATTTACCTCAAAGACCTCTCCTATCCTCACTGTAAATGTTACACAGAGCATACTTTTAAACAAAACATGAACATATTAAATGGAAGTCTATAGAATATGCTATTACTGAGAAACTCATTTCTTCCCATGTTCTTCTCTCAAATAATTGTGTGCTAGAAGAGATTATTTTGATTAAACAGCCATAAGCATTGAAAGACTTGGCACAATGACAGATTTTCTACATTATCTTGGATGCATATTCCGTCCAAAGGTTCTGAATCTGAAATCCCTTCACCCTGGGCCTGAACAAAGTCAGAGGCTCATTACGGCAAAACACACCCTTGGCAGGAAAGAGGTAAATCATTGAGTCCCTGGGGTGTGGGAGGGACCCAACTCCGAGTGGAGGAAGTTCTCCTGCCTCAGGCACCGCCCCTGTTGAGCCAGCTTTCAGTCCTCTCCGGAAGCTGTGAGACTGCCCTGAGGAACCTATTCTAACTGGGTCTGGGGGGTGGGGTGGGGGGCTGCGAAGGACCTGAACAAAGGACCCCAGGGTTCCACTTCACCTCTCAAGAAACTGCCCAAGTGTGATGAAGGGTTCCATTTAGCAGATCAGTTCTCACTCATGTGTTAATGGGTTTTTCCACGTACCACCTGCCACACAGGAAAAATTTCACAAAACAACTCATATCCCTCAATTGGTTTTAAATGTTCTGATTTGTTAAATAAGCTAATGGTTTGCACTGTTTGGCAAATAACTGTGGCTCACAGAGCAAAGATGCCCTGGAAATTGTTTGCTGTGTATATTGTGTGTACAGTCTTCATTAGATAGTTTTTAACTAGAATACCTTCTTGTGATTACAGAACCTTGAGCTACGTGGTGCAGGTCAGTCAGAAGGAGCAAATATCTTGGCACTTGGGCTTGATTTTCATGTCTTTCCCTTTTTTAAAATCAATTCGAGGATCGTCAGAAAGTGTCACAGTATCTTTTGGTCAGCAAGTCAGTCAAAAAGATGCCCCAGAAAATATTTCTCAGTAGCTCACAGCTGCCCTGTGTGAAGAGGACATTGGCACCAAGAACACCTCTCTGCACTTCCGCAGCCGGTCCTAGCTGAGGCAGGTTCCGAGGTCGGCCTTCCCACCGATCTCCATAGCACTGTAGACTTTCTCAGATTGTACAAATTCTGTCCATAGGATGCTTCATTACTGGGAAGGCAGCAGTCCTGTGTCGCTGAGGTTCATTGCACAAAAGGCCTTGAAATCCCGTCTCCCAGGGATTCAGGGTACCCTGATGGTTGGGGACATTTGCTTTCTGAGGACCAAAGAAAAAATGTGATTGGGATCTTATCGACTACAAAACATTACTTATTATACAAACTCCACTCCTGGAGTGCTTGGTTTTGTGACATCTCTTCATTTTAAAATAGCTCCTTTTGTTTTTTAAATGTTGACTAGTTTAAAAGGAGCTGTCCATTGGCTTCTTTGAAACAGCAAGTCTCCCCCCAAGTTTTCTGATTCTGAAATTTCTCTGCTCCTTTGAATGTTGACAAGGGCAGTGCTGACAGCCAAGGGCCTGGACAACACAACAGAAATTCAGGAAGGAAATCCAGTTAAATATTTGTAAGCAAACAGATTGCACCTTTTTCAAATACCAGTGTCTATAAAAGGCCCAGGTGCTGGCCAAAAGATGAGAAGCTTGAAGCCCTCGGCTGCCCGGGTATCTACCCAGGCTATGTTCCTCATGGCAACTGCAGGTTCCCAGGGAGGTAGACAAATGGAGCACAGAAGCAGGATGCCCCCAGCCTAAAAGCAGGGTGCCCCATCCAGGTATCCTACATGGCATGGACCTCTCCATCTATATATCCCATGCAGGCGGCAACCTAGCGCAGCGGTCTCCGCGCCGGGCGCTATATATCCCATGCAATGGCCTCTGTCAAGTGGGAAGTACAGACTGTCCCACATACTATCAGGGACTTCTAAGCAGACCCCCATATTAACTCCAGAGAAATGTGGCAGTGGCTGTAAAGAGCCAGAATTTTTGCTCTGTAGTTAAACAGTGGTAATTCCTAACTCTCCCACAGGACAAATCACCAGTCTTTTAAACCAATATTAAAACCAGCAATTTATATAGTCTACCCAAAAACAAGAAAGACCTATGTTTTGGCAAGTATTCAGTTTGATAAAAAACAGGAAGATGACTAAGGACCAGCAAATGAAGGAACGATTTTTCTGAATTAAACAAGGAGAAAGAATGCACAAATCCCCTATGTAACCGTACCCTACTCGCGGTCCCATGGGAGACATGGAGATACCCTTTAGTTCTGATATTTTCATTTGTGACAAACATCTTTACCTCACAGAATAACAAACTTAGAAACTTGAAAGTTCTGGCTGGAGTAGTTCACAAATCTCTGTCTAGAAAACTTCCATATAAAATATATCTGGGGGGCCAGGAAGATAGCTCAGTAGAATAAGCACTTGCCTGGCAAGCACAAGGGCCTGAGTTCAATCCCCGGTTCCGAAAAAATAATATATATCTGGATTCTTTTACTTGTAAAACTTACCTTCAATCATCTTAAACTTTCTGAATTTTTCACAAAGTTCTAAAATGAATTTTTAGGGGCTAGAGATATAGCTCAGTGGAATAAGGGCTTGCCTGGCAAGCTCAAGGTCCTGAGTTTGATCCCTGGTACCACGAAAAAAATTAAAAAATGAAATAAAGTGAATCTTTAAAGAATCCAACACAATTGGTAAACTATAGAAAGCAGAGTGTGAATCTTGCTTTGCATATTGTGAAGGCTCAGATCCGGTCTCAGGAAAGCAGGGCCAGCATATGGCATGTGTCACATTCCAGCCGTGCCCTTCGGTCCAGTCCCCCTCTGGACCTTCTTAGAGGTAAGAGATGTCTGGAGGCTGTGAGTGCCGAGTGCACACCAGACCCTTGGGCTCCACAATGCCGCAACACATCTTCCCTCCTTGTGGTCCTCCACAAGGTTTCAGAGAGTGCACCCTGCCTTGGGACTCTCAGGGAGCACGTTTGTAAAGGAAGTGTGGTGGTGACAGCCCCATAGAGGAGCCAGGGCAAGCCATAGGTGACCTGCTCTGAGCAACAGTGCCATAGAGAAGGCAACTGGCGTGTCCCCTGGTGGAACAGGATAAAGGAGAGGAGAAGGTTGGGGGTTAGAGGGAGAGTAGTGGGGGCCAGTGCACCAGTCCTGTGCTGCTTCACCCTGGGACTCTCCAACACCCACCCTCACTTTCCCTCCTGCCTGGACACTCTTCTCTTTCTTGCAAGGTATTAGTTCTCAGCCTACCAGACTTCTCTATGCAAACTGAGAAGGGCTCTGCACAGACCACTCTACACTAATCTGTTTCTTCCAGTTTAGGATTTGACCCTGGAGTGCTGGAGATGGGATCAGAGGGAGCTGGTTTTAATTTTTATGTTAACATTTTTATCTAAGTTTGTGGGTGTGCTGTCTTGGCATCTCACCACTGTTTACACCCCAAGTCTGCCCCGCTGTCTATGTGAGCAGACCTTACCGACCTTTCAACAGCCCAGAAGGCAACAGGTTCTTGTTTTCTTTTCCTGATTTCCAAACTTCAAAGACAGATTTGAAGATTATTCATTGAACACAAAATAAAACAAAAAGGCTGGACACCCTCTGGCCACCTCCACTGTATTAACAGCCCTGGCTCCATGCCCAGGTACTGTCAGGTACAGGAGAAGCCCAGGTCAGCACTGCTCCTGCCATACCAGACCTTGTCCTCTGGGAACACAGTGGCCCACAGGGGCCCTCATCTGCCTGCACTCATCTCAGACCCACATGACAATTTGTTTAAAAAAAACAAAATACAAAATAGAGGCCGGGGAGATGGCTCAGTGGAATAAGCGCTTCCCTGGCAAGCACAAGGA